TGTGATAATTTACATTGAAATGTAGAACTTTAAAAATAACAACCATCAACTAAGTTAGAAAAAACGAAACATTCCAAATTCATAAAGTATAAAGATTTGGCTGAAATCTTTGATCAATAACGAGAATTTTAAATAAAAATCAATCTTTATAAATGAAAAAATTTATCGAAATCTTCCAAAATATCATTAAAATTGAATATATGCTTGACAGTGAAGATAAACTTTAGATCACAAGTAACTTAGTAGTAAAGTTTGACTTTTACTGACTAATTCAAGTCATATGCAAAGCGTAAACTTTTGGGTTCAAATCTAAGATTTGTTGAAGTATCGCACACACTGTTTGCTAACAGACCAAAAATTATGTTTCATTAAAATTTAAAGAAAACTAAAAATTGATAAAAGTATAATTGACTTTGTTAAGTTAATCCAAGCAATTACATAATGGGTACTTGATCGCGTTCTCCGATAGAGAAGTCGAATCAATAGTAAATTTACCGCGAATAAGAGTAAATCAATAATAATTTCCTTGCGAACAAAAGTCATTCATGTAGAATGCTCACGACAGACTCACGTAATTTAATGCTATTAGTCAGTCATTTATTAATTTATATCGTTAAAATTGTATTTGTTTAAAAATTTCCACTTGTTTATAAATGCACGAAGGCTAAAAGCTTAAAAGAAGCTAAGATTATTAAGGTTAAGTCTGAAAAGTTTTTGATTTATAAGAAAGTAAACTAATGAAACCTATTTAAGGATAAACTGCAGATGGATATTTCACTCCAGTTACTTTCAGTTTTGTTTACAGAAAAAAGAAACATGAAGTGAAAAATTTCAATTATTTGAATGTATTTTAATTGCAACATATGACTTAGTATGCTTGACAAATAGAAAATTTTACTCATGTGTTATCAATGATTTTATCACAAAATTCAGCCACTCCTAGTTCAAATCCAATTTTCTGCAATACTGAAGGACCACTTTAAAAAATGTTTAAGTAGAAGGAAAAATCAAATTTCCGCTGTCTTCCCAAATAAACAAATAAATTTTTCACAAACTTTAAAAGCTACTGAGTTACAAAAAATTAATTCAAAAAGTTTGAAAATTCCAAAAAAATATAAACAAATATGCAAATAAATATTAAAGAAAAAAATAAGACACAATTATTACAGATATTATCAGTGTGGGTTTTATTTACAATTTTTGGTTTTTGTGATGAAATAATAAAATTGTGATAGTTTTGGTATTCAAAAGTAATTTATTGACAAGGCAAACACAGAAATTATATCTGCTGTTTCATTCATATTTTTCTTCCTGTTTTTCAATTTTTAAGCACTTCAAATGCGAAACCTGAAAAAAAGGAAGAAAAATATGCATGAAAAAACAAGCATAAATTTGAAGTTAGCTAGCTAGTTAGTAAGTTTTTGACTAGAAGAACAGGTTCTAAAGTAGATTAAACTTACCGTTTTTAATGCTTTTGTTGGTGCGACCATTTTCAATTAGTAATTTCCTTTCTTCAAACTTTCTATATGCAATAACTTTCGGTTGAGAAAAAGTTGTAATAAATTACTACTTAATTCTAGTTAGAGCGAAAAACTTTTGCATTAAGTGTGAAATCAATTAAATTATTGCTCAACAAGAAAAAAGCTGAAGGTTGAAATATACATATACTAATCTCTATATATATACATATATGGAGGTTAGTTTTTTTTCTGCTCTATTGATTGTGGCGCTGAATCGTATTCCAGCACTCCGATCGTACGTGTTCCACGCTCAGATTTGTTGCACTTTTGCTTCATTCTCGTGGAATCCATGGCATCGAATGAGATGCTTTAGAGCGACTTCTTGAGCACTACCGATTGAATCTATGCCTTGACGTGATCGATATATGATCTCCTTCGCGTAGCCTTGATGGAAATTCGTTATAATCCCATTTTATGTCACCACATATGGAATAATTTTCGTACTGCATTTCATCTCTGACCGAGTTTATTAGCCAGCAGATCACATTTTTGCTTTTTCTGTGTCTATATATATATATATATATATAATTCTTGGCTTTGCCGAGGTGCTGACCACATGATTCTGAGCGGCTGTGTTTAAGAAACATGAATAAAGGGTAAAAAGAAAAAGCCTGAATCTGGAATCATGAATGAAAACAATGGAAAAACAGATGCGGTTGGAAAAAGACATGTGAAGGGTGTGAGAGAACATGCTACCAATTTACCAGAACTCGGTACCAGCAAAATGATCACACTTGAGGCACTCGTCCGTAGAATCGAAATCTCGAAATCTCGCGAAGCAAGTGGTCAGGAGAGGTGCTGCAAGCGGTCCTTGACCGATTTGGAAGAATGCCGAGAGGGGGATGGCATTGTGTCGTTCCTTGTATAGCGAGAAGTTTTAGTGTGGCTATTACTCTCGAAGAACTAAGAAGCAAGTGAATTTCTGTGATCACCAGTATTGCACAGAAACGGTTCTTGGAGGAGTGCAGGAAACGTGTCAAAGCATAAAATACGCACTTCGGGCAAAACATGCTACACTAATCTAAAGTTTATCTGGATATAAAAGAGAAAACCTAGTACTAATGCAGGAAGCACAAGGGCGTGAAATAAACCAGACAAAGTGGATGCAGAAGATAACATCGGAGA